TATACTATTATTCTTACTTATTTTATTTTTATTACTTATTTTACTTCTTCTATCTATCGTCTCTTAGTAGTAGTGTAGTGTAGTAGTTATAATAATAATAATAATAATAATAATAATATATTATTATTATTATTATTATTATTATTATTATTATTATGTGGAACTGATTTTTATTTTTTAGAATATTATGTGAAATAGAGTTATTTTTGTGATATACAGAAGCCCTAACACGATTTGTTAATTGAGGCTTTGTAGATCAAGTTGTTCGAGATATTCTCAATTAATCTATTGTGACAATAGATTTTTGGGTAATATTTGCAATATTGATGAATTTTTTATCTATTCTCATTCATTTCTTTTGATGTGTCTCATTTTGTAGATAAATCTCTGATCTCATGAAACCTGTATTTCTTGATTAGAGCTCTACAAAATATCATTTTTGTTCTTATTTCACTGGATGTAAAAACACCTCTTTTTAGGAACTAATTGAATTGAATTCCAATAAATAAATAAAACTATAGTATTACTATTTATTAGGTAATTAAAAAATTTGTATTCTTGAGTTAGTACTAATATTAAATATTTGCATTAACTCAGATAACATTTGTATTAATTCAGATAATAAAGGTGCTTTTACAAATTTCTTCGTTTGCATTTTTCCTTGATTAGGGATTTTTCAAACTATTCGAATAAGGTATGATTTTTGGTAATTATAAAAATATATATTCTTGAGTTAGTACTGTATATATTAAATATTTGAATTATTTCATATAACATTTGCATGTGTGACTTTGAGGTTAGGAATTTTATTTTTGAATACTTATTCCATTGACACGATTCATGGATCTAATGTGAAAACTGATTTTTGGATAGTATTTGTAATATTACGTATTTTGTAATCTATTGTTAATTATATATTACATATTACATAATGGTAAATATCTTTTTTTTTTGTAGGAAAAATATATTTTAAAACTAATATAATAATTTTATTTTTCTTTTTTTTTGTATTGTCTATTTCTTTTGCATCTTCTGATATTCGCAACAAAATTGGAACAAAAAAAAGTTGCAGACACCACAATACTATTTTTATTTTTCTCTTATTTCTTTCGTTTTTTTAATTTTCAAATTGATATTTTCTTAAGAACATAGTTAATACTATTGAATAGGAATTATATTTGATAACATAAATAGAATTTATATGGATTTGTCTTAATACAATATTTTCAAAATAATGTATCAAATTTATAATTATTTGATGCAACATTCAATTTTAAAGATAAATTCTTTCATTTTTAAAAGTTTTTAGTCTCCATGTAATCTTATTTTATCACAAATAGTATCTGACTTATTTATTTATTTCATGGTTAAAAAACATATAATTATGTAATAAAATTATTCAATTATGAGGATAAATTCAATAATATCTAAAACCATATTTTATTCAAAATATTTTTTAATAATAAATATGTTTAAGTGATTAATATTAATATTCAAAATATATAAGTTTTATACATTACATGAAGTACAGAAGCTTGCCCAGAATAAATAAAGGGGGATGTATCGTATAAGTCAGGTCAATGTCCATCTTTAACAGGAACATAAAAAAAAAGGGATATGTACTTTTTTTTTATAGAAGTGATCACAATTACTTATCACCATCCGATGTAAAATTTGATAGCTTGAGTGGATCACACAATTCGAAAAAAATTCTTTTGAAGTTTGAGCTTGGTCAATAGAATAAATGCAGCCACCTGATTTCATATCCCATGGATACGATTGATTGTGACTACTGTGTACCAAAGGTAAAAAGAAAAGCTTATATAAGGTTGCAACCTTCAAATGTAGAACTACGGATGCACCACAAAAATCATCGGAAAATGTTGTTTTAATATTGAAAATCCCTCTAATTGATCATCTCGACATTCGAGATGAATGACTATGAAAAAAATAAGGATTTTGAGTCCCATAAATGGTGTATCTTACAACACATTATCTAGACTGTCCATTTTCAAGATTTTCATATATTTACATATATACTTGATTTTAATCATTTTTTAAGTATAAATTGTATAATTAGATATGAAAATAGATTTTGAGTTAATCCTAAGGATATTTTACATCAAAATTATATGTTATGATAAAATTTGAAGGTGCACCTTAAATGGATCGTTTAAGGTTGCAACCTTATGGAAACCACACCCAAAGGTAAATAGTATCATTCTATACTTTCCATAAAAAAAAAGGGCTCGACCAAAAACTAAAATAAAAGGTATAAGGAAACCAAAAAATAATCACTTTTAAATTTATAGTGTATTTTTTTATAATATTGATGATCACCACAGCCTAGATTATGGATCCAAAATCCATGTTTTAATTGGATTATAGAGGGGGTCAGAGGTGAATAGATGAGTCCATCGACTTGTAGAAGCCACACCCTAAATAAGAACTGTTACATGAGACAAAGTTACATGGTGCTTAGAAAACAGGATCGAACGGTGAATCAGACACCTCTTGGGTGTGAGAAGCGGCCCATAAAATAAAAAATAAAATAAAATTTACGTATATATCTCCTATATTTTTAAGATGAAAGTTTTTCTTAATATTTTATATTATATATATGTCCCTTTTCTTAGAAACATATGTAGTATTTTAATCTCTCTTTTTTATTTATATGATTATATGATTGAGCTCAAATTTTGGAGGCCTATACTTCTCACAATAATGCACTCACAATAATGCACTCGTAAAAAGTATAAAAGTAATAATTTTAATTAAACAAAGCAATCAAAATACCCTTAAAATTTTTATAAGATATTTCAAGTCTTTTATTTTTATTTGTTTATATTTTTATTTGTTTATATTTTGTACTTCTAACAGATGTAATGGATATGTCCATAATAGTGATAGGTATATGGATATACAAAAATTGAGCTCAATCTAGAATAGAAAAAAAGAAGAACATAAAATTGGAATACAAGATGTATACTAGAGGTATTTTTAGGGATTATCTACTATGAGACCACTTATTATTTATACAAAGAGGTCACAATCACTTTTATTTTTTAGATGTGAAATCCAATAGTTGAAATTGTCTCACAACATTGAAGAAATTTTATTTTGGAATTTGTGCACAAACAATTACACAACTTCAACTAAATCTAATGGTTAATGATGTTTATGACCTCCCTATATGAAAAGTAAATGGTCTCATTATATAAATTTCCTATTTTAAAATTTAAAAAAGTATAAGAAATATTTGTGTAAATTTCCCAAACAAAAAATATAATGTAGGGGAACACTTGGCTCGTACATGTTAGGATTCATCAATTGATTTAGTTCAACATGGAAAATAGAATTGTCTTAAAAAAAACCATTTATCTTTTATACATTGCAGCCACAATCATACTCACTAATTTGATGTCAAATTGGATGGCTTGGGGTGAGTCAAGAAGTCCAATAATTTCTTTTTTTAGAACTGTCTAGGGAGAGAGCTAGATATGCTTGAGATAGATATGCTTATAGGTTGCCAGTGTATGGAAGCTTCCAGTTCCCAATAAGGTGAGATGTTTTATTTGGTTGCTAAGTTTGACCAAATTGTTAACTATTGAGGTGTTAAGGTAAAAGTAAAGTTCTCACTAATACTTATATACTATGCAAAGCAGATGTCAAAACAACTGATCATTTGTTTCTTCAATGCCAATATACTGATTTTATATGGAGATGGGTGATGGATGTGTTGGGTATGCAGTTAGACAACAGTGTTATGAGAAGACTCAGCCGAGGCGTCTCGGATTCGACTGAGTAACTCAGGGCAAGGCGAATTTTAGGCTGGTATTTTTTTTGTGGAGTTCTAAAAAGACAGTTGTAGGCCTCCAAGAATCGAACCCCACACCTCTTGCAAGGAAGCCTCTCAGATTTGGCCGAATAACTCGGTGCAATGCAAGATTTGGGTGTGTATTTTTTTAAAGACCGTTATTTTTTTTAATATGATGGGAGTTCGAACCTCACACCTCTTGCAATGAGGCAGAGCATAACAAATACGACATTAGCTATTTGATTGTAAAAGTTACCCGCTATATATATATGTGTGTGTGTGGGAAAAAATGAGATTAACCCACTAGCCCCTATGAACATATAAGCCCAACGTATCAGATTAAATCTGAGCCAATCTAACGATTACAGATATCTGGTGGTGTATGAATTTTTATTTTTTTTCTACAAATCCAAATCACTTGAAATTTTAGACGTGTGTTCATCAAAAATAAGTGAATCTTAAAAAAATATCAAAAAAATATTTTACATGAAATAAATTGACCAAAATACCCTCAAAAAGGTTCGAGGGGTATTTTGGTTATTTTATTTTTGCGAATAATTTTTTTAATATTTTTATTACCTAGATTCAATCTAGGCCATTTGCGTATAGTCGTACAACAGTGACTCATATATATATATATATATATATATGGAAAAGATGAGATTAGCCCACTAGCTCATATGAACATATAAGCCCAATGGCTCAGATTGAATCTGGGCTGATCTGATGATCACGGATGTTCAGTAGTGTTTGATTTTTTTTTTTTACTTTTTACAAATCTAAATCACTTGAAATTTTAGGTGTGCGTTTTTCTCATCAATGTGTACTTAATATTCTGTGGCCGATTTAATGCTCACAGATGTCGGATAGTGTTTGAATTTTATTTTATTTTTTTTTTCAAATCCAAATCACTTGAAATTTTAGGCGTGTATTCTTCTCATCAAGGTGCATCTAATAAAAATATAAAAACAAAACAATTCGCGGAAAAAACATTGATCAAAATACACCCTGAAACTTTTCGGGGGTATTTTGGTCAATTTATTTTATATAAAACTTTTTTTTGATATTTTTTGTAGATTCATCTATTTTTGAAGAACACGCCCAAAATTTCAAGTGTTTTTTATTTGTAGAAAAAAAAATTAAAATTCAAACACTATCGGACATCTATGATTGTCAGATCAGCCCAGATCCACTCTAGGCCATGGGCGTTTACTGTAGCAGTAA